CCGATTCATTGTCATGACTTTGTACAATGATTAAAAAAAAAAAAAAAAGGCGGGAAGCCTGCGGCCATCAAAATCAAAGAGTCTGAAGCGACTTTGTTTCAAACTCTGATGAAAAATGTTGAGTCAAGCCATAGGCCTCCATAGTGCAAAGGTGTGTTCATTGTAAAAATGTTCACTTGCATGTCTATAAAAACAGCCATCCAAATCTTTATTCTTTTAAGCTTAACACAAATGTGTATTATTAAAATACCTTGTTTGCTCTGTGGGTTTTCTTGAATGTCAACTTATCGTCCATCTTGTATCATGTTATTTCAATTCATGCTAAACTTTTATAACCTCACAGATTCATGATATACTTGGTTTAAATCCATGACACCCGTGTCGATTAGGCTTTAAGAAATGTGTACCTTCTGTAATTAGTTTATGCTGTTTTATTTATTATTCTTTGCAATAATGTTATTGTTGGAGCAACATTTTCGATGCAGCTTTTGTACTGCACTCAAGATTGCAGTCGATCCTGTCAAAGTGTGAGCGTATTGTACGGAGGGTGTACTTGAAGCGGGAGCCCTTGCAAAAAAAAAAAAAACAAGTTTGCCTGCAGTGACATTTTTCTTTCCAGGTAACCGGGAAGTATCTGAAAATGTTCACTTTTGTTCACACAGCGGGGGAGACATCATTAAAAAAATACTGAAGAAATGGTGATGAAACGATTTCACCCACCACTTAGCATTCAGACAAGTGCCCGATGTTTTAGAACTTTCGAACTGTGCATGCGTCCATGTGTGGGAATCTTTCTCAAGGTGTCCTCTTGGGTTTGATGCTTGCTTGCTTTCATTCCTTTTCACATCTACATCTTCGCACTTCGTATTATCATCTCCCAACATGGTCTGAACATCGTCATCGTGCCATAATTCTTCACCAGAGGAACGCACAACGTCACACATCTCCACTGCGTCATTTTTGGGTGCAACCGTCATTTGAACATCAACCGATACACAAAACTGCCCTCTTCTCTGACCATGTTACCGCCCTCTTGCAAAGCCTCTCATGACTCGCAGTTCTTCCCAGTCTTTCACTTCACCTCCACACCACATGTGCAACTTCAAGGACCAAAACTTTTGCAGGTACAACTTTGTCAATAGTTTGTCTGAAAAGCTTGTCCTTCATTCTGTATGTAAGCACCTCCATCATATCACCTGAAGATATCCAATTTCTGCAGTAAATACTGCCATTGTCTGACTGTTTTTTTATTTATTTCAAGGACCTTAAAATGTCATACAGAATTGACCTCAATTTAACGAGGTCCACTTAATGACAGATTTTAGTTGAAGGTCAGTTCTCGGAGAAATTGTTTTGTCAATACAACTCGGACCAAGAGTTCTTTCAATTTGAGAGCTCTTTCAATTTGAATAAACGTCAGTTTGTACGCATAATTTGATCAAATGTCTGTAATGTAAGGCCCCCATGGCAGCAGCACTCCTTTTCAACGACAGATGGCTGAAGTGGTTAGTGAATGGTGCCGTCACATTGATTGAGTTGGAATTTAAATTTCTGCTGGGGACTGTGGCTTCACGCTATTCAGTCCCTCTCTGAGGGCTCGCTGGCCGGCTGCAAGGTCGTGCGGCGTCACCATCGAGGTACACTTAGACCAACAAAAGGAGGAACAATTTTCCTCCAGGGGGGCCGGGCCGGGCCACAATTCCACCGACGGCCCGCTGAATTTTCAACACAATGAAGAGATATGGTGGCCGCAGGACGCCCATATATTTGGGACTAACCAATCAGAGGAAAGCTGCTTTCCATATTAAATTTCAGGGGAACAGATATCCAAACAGCTCTTTCAAAATTAAAGCCAGTTGTGACCAACAAAAGTTGCGCGAAAAAGGGCATCATGCTCATTTACAACCTAAATTTCATTGCAAACCCGAGTACATCAAAGATTATTACAAAAAATTAATAAAATAAAAATTTGCGTATTTTCTGCACTACAAGGCGCACCTAAACGCATTCAATGTTCAAAGTTCTAAAAGCCGGCAGTGAGCCCTGTAATCCGATGCGCCTTATATATGGTGTTTTAGTCTCTTTATATTCCCCTATTGAGTTGTTTCCCTGTTCATGTTCCTATGCCATCGAGTGGTGATTATTAGCAGGAACCAATTGTAACCTAAAAGGGTTCTGCCCGACACTAATTGACATGTACATTCGCCAACACACACTCAAACAGACAACTACTTTGTGAGCTCTGCGCCCAGCCATTATGAAACGAAGATCATACCAAAAGCAAAGTTAACTACTGACTACTGTAAACGAAAGGAGAAAAGTGAGACATCTAAAGATATTTAGCCACTTGCGGATGTGAGCCCGCGAGGTTTGTGTGCCTTTTTGTTAAATCAATTGTCTTCTTAAATTTTGTCTTTCATTTAGTGTTTTGTAATACCATCTGTATGTGTATGTTTCATGTCCATGTTTGTGACCAGTTCTCATGGCTTTATTCCAGCTGCAGCAGTTGTGAAGGCTCTACATAAATAAAGCTGCATTGTATTGTATTGTATTCCCTTTAGCGTAGCTCCATCTAGTGGATACATAGCACAGCCACAGCCATTATTGTAGCTTCTATTCTATGTACCGCAAAATGCAGTGTGCCCTAGAGATGAAAACAGTTTTACAATAAGCTATTCATTAAAGGTGAGCTTTATAATCCGAAGCGCTTTACAGTACAGAAAATACGGTAATAAGAATGAATACAAACTAAGAATGTTAAAAAGACGGTGAAACTGCCTGCACAGTTAACTTCCATGACAGTTGACCTCAGGCAACCTCGGCCCTCTGGTGTGGGTTGGTTCCACCGGTAGACAGTGTGGACACTTACCTCCAGTCATGTGTTGACTACATATTCGACCCTGATGACCTCTGAGGTTGCGACACTTAACTGTTCCCATGACATCATCGTTCTATCCAGAGATCTTAGAGCTGGTCCTTTCAGGAGCCTTAGTCATGCAAAGTCTTACTCTTGTCTTCATTTTTGATGACATCTGGGATTTGTGACATCTGTTCTCTGCTCCCTGTCAGCATTCGCTATTGTTTGCTTGGTTAGCCAGCAGCTGTTTGTCATTCTGGAACTTCATGCCCCACAAGATCTAAGCTCTCATCTTCTCAACCACTTTCTGTTGTGTGTCCCTTTGGAACTTGTAATACGAAGTCGGCACAGATGTTCCTGTACTCTATCCCGGCCACTTAGTGCCTCTCCATGTATGTCTTACCTGTTTGCATCTTTGGCAATCTTTGCATACCGGTCTTTTTAAAAGATAAATTAAGAACAATAAAATATCTCTATCCACATGAAAATGGCAATGCAACCATAATTAAATAGTATGTATTTATGAACCTGACAATGTGATCTGGAAGAAAAGACTAATTGATGAAGTGGATCTAAAAAGTCTACACACCTCTGTTCAAATGCCAGGAGAGAAAGAATTTCAACGTGGCCTATTACCTCAACAACTCCTTTTATTTTTGTATGTTTAAGACTCTAAGTACCATTTGAGTGAATTTCTTTTTCATTGTTCAGCTTTCAGTTTATGAGTGGGCACCACAGCATTTGTGGGCCAATAGATGGGTGTTCTGTCACGAAACAGGTACACAAAAATACTCTCTGTCTCCTTTAGCCATTGACCATTCAACATCTTTTTGACTAATTATAAGATGAAAAATGTTCCTGTTTTCCAATTCGTGTGTCTCAGTCAAAATGATTCTTGTGTATACAGCGCTGTCATTTTGAAGTCTTAAGAGACCACGTCAAATTAGTTTGGAGCCACTACTGTCAAAGTCTCGACAAATCACTGCTTTGGGCTTATTTTCCTGAGCATTTCTCAAATCGTTCAGAAGTTGCTGAAAATGTCTTGACATTTTTTTTTCTCCAAAATACACTTGGCATTTCCTGTCAATACCATTTTAAAAAGTCAGATTTCAGTAGGAGTTTGCTCCCCCTGCCAGAGCCATCACAGAGATTGTGTAGCTTCTCCTTTTCATGCACTGCTGCTCGTCAAAGTACTGATGATCCCATTTGATAGTTCTCACATCAAAGAAGTGAATGGTTTACAACTATAAGCACCTAAATTAGAGCTCTATATCTTAAAAGCATCCAAATCAAATAAAGTATTGTTTTTAAGGTAGAGAGCCAACTTCACTTATTTTCTACACAGATTAGTACATTATATTAGATATAAAAAATATGATGCATTCGACTACTGGGGAGCAACGATGAATGCATAATTTTGTTTTGCCATCATCAAAGTTACAGCTATCTGACAGGTTCAAAACTAATCGAATAATTTAGGATCCCAGAAATGCAGACAGAGACAAAATGCGAATAACAAAAATATTTTAGTATCAAAGAATCCAAAACGCTGGACACAAGGATCCCGGGAAAAACGAGGAATTAACAAAAGGTGCTTGCAAAAGACAAGGTAGTAGTAAGACAAGCATACACACAAAATGACAAGAGTCCAGTATACCCAAAAAACAAGAGCAAAAGCAAATAACTGACTGAAGACAATACTTGAAATTAAGGAATTAAGAGAGCGTGAATGACTGTGAAGAAGATCGAGAGGTCTGGTAAACAACAACACTTGAGCATGAACAGCGAGCAATGTCAATAATCCGACAAGGCGTGGCACAAATCGAAGTTCTTTAATACTGTAGGCATGATGACAATATGGAACAGGTGTGCCTGCTGGAGGGAAACGCCCTCCACTTCAGCTGGAGCTGAAACAAAAACAAAGACAGACTCGACACTATCCCTGCATGAGTACATCAAATTCCTCATCTTAATCAACATTTTTATCAGAACCCGCAAGTCGGTTTGAAAGCCCTGAATGCTAACACATTCAATGTGCTACTCATCACACAAATGTTCTTATCAGTGAACATGTACTGGCGATAATTTGTTACAGATTAAAATAATTCTGCCATGTTTTCACATTTGATTTTTGTATTAATTAAGGCGAAGAAAGTTGGATGGTTTAGGGAGTAAAATCATCTGCAATCGACACACTAATAGTGCTGCAATTGCTTTCAAAACAAAAATGTTCATTTTCTCCAGAGAAAAATGGTTTGTTAGTTGTTTTGTTTAGCTGAGCTCAGGCAAAAAGGAATGCAAGTCTTATTCGGTCTAGACGAAATCAATACATCCCCAGTGACAAATGGTGAGAGACAAAAGACGCTTTTTCTGACCTCAACGAGAATGTTATGCCGTTCCCCTACCAGGCTCCTCCTATATAGTGACCGTGCATTGATGTCTGCACTCTACAGTCTACAAGTATTGAACATTCACCCTATATCCACTCTATTCAGTGAAGAAACGGACGTTTGCGCCATTGTGTGACTGAACCCATCTGGACAGCTGAGCAGACAAGGTCTGCCAGTCCTGACGCCTAATAGATGCATAAGGCCACAGTGTCATACGCCACGCCACGATGCAAGCACACAAAATACATTTTCACGGTTTTGTACTTTCCATCCGCAGGAGCCGTAGACATTGTTTTCATAGAATACTGTGACAGGAACGGTCAGATGCCAGTTCGTTTCTCCCAGATTCTTTATAGATCTCCCTGCTTCACACAAAAGAGCCTGAAGCATCATGAAATTTTAATTGTTTCATTTCCATTTTGCTTTTTACAATCCCACGATTAATTGACAGAATGCTTGTGCACCTTGTTAGTCGAATTAAACGGGTCTACTGTAATGAACGCCAAATCTTCAGTGCCCAACATAGACTGTAGCATTAGTGCCTTGCCAAAAATGCATTTCTACAATGTTGTTTATTGGATACTGTTCTCAATTACCGTGTGCAGAGTTTTATATGTTTGCACTTCCTCCTTTCTCCTCTCCCTATTTGGATGGTGACTTGGCTTTAAAAATCAGTGTTGGTGGTCATAAAAAAAAAAAAAAAAGTAGCTTACACAATAAAAGACAACGTAAAGCACTTAATGGCTGATGCATTAAGTCACATTGCCAATGACACAGTTATTAGATTAAATGACCCGGGTGCTACATCTACTTCAAAGGATGCGGATGTAGACCTACTGTAAGTTTCATACGCATTTTCCGTTCACATTCAACTGGATGAGACTGTCAAATCGATGAAACTTTCGGAAACAAAAAACACATTTAGAAACCTTCCTGAATCAAAGCAACAATGACATTAAAACATCCAAGTAAAAGCCTGACAACATTTTTAAATGGATTTGGATTTTTGAATTCTCATTGAACATTTCTTGAGGTTCACCTGCACAAGACAATGATTCATTGAATATGACTCATTCTACGTATGTACAATAATGCAATGTTTATACAGACAGTCTCAGAGAGGTATTTTATTAAAGGTTACTATAGATTTTTTTATTAAGACAGTCAAGCTGAGAATGAGTCACCACTCAGGTCATTTAACAAACCGTATTTTCCGCACTATAAGGTGCACCTGAAAGCATTCCATTTTCGCAAAAGCCGACAGTGCGCCCTATAATCCAATGAGCCTTATATATGAGGTTACAGTCTCTTCACATTCCCCATTGAGTTGTTTCCCTGACTGTTCCGATGCCATCTAATTTTGATTATTAGCAGGAGCCAATTATAAGGGTTCTGCCCGACACTAATTGACATGTGCATTCGCCAATTGTGATGGGATTTTCGTCTCTTTTCGGTGATCCAGTTCATTTGGATCGGCTCAGTGAAAAGAGCCGGCTCTTTTTGGCTCTCAAACGGCTCTTTTAACTTTAGCTTTTCTTTTAAATATTGATGACAAATTTAGCATACATTTTGATAAATGACTTGGTGAACTAAATATTGCACTCTACTGACTGCAAATAGCAACAATTATCAAGCAAAGAAATGGCTTTTTACTTATTTTATTGAACATTAAAAAGGCTCCAAACAATAAACAAGCAACAAAATTAAACTTCAACCAACAACAATCAAACATGCGGCATCATAACAAAAATAGTGAGTATTAACTGCAACAGCAGCAGTGAAAAAAACAAACATAAGCTACTCCTTGCTTAATTTTAAATTTGCAGTCAACAAAACTAAATACTTCAACTTGGAATACTTCAATTTGTCCAGTCTTTGAGAACACCCTCTCTGACGGGACAGATGTTGCTACAATGCACAATCGACTCTCCATTACTTTGATCAAACGGGGGTAGACGGAAGCTCGGTGTTTCCACCAGCTCAGTGGATCAGCTGCCCTTGAAATCTGTGGTTCTTCAAAATATGCCCTAATTTAGTGCTTTGTGTTTTTGCACGCTTCGCTAATACTGTAAATTAGATTCAGATTGCTTGCCAAACGCCTTTGTGGTTTCCCGGACAGTAGGGGGCGATATGAACTAAAGACATCAAATTCACCAAGAAGAAGAATAAGTCCAAGCACAAGAACAGTAACACATACGGTTCAATGAGCAAGTTTTTCTGCTGTCCACAAGCCCTGTTCTCAGCGAGTAATTTTAACATTTTAAACTGACTTCGCAGTTTATC